CCCCCTGCAGCCCTGCCCCCCCTGCCTCCACAGGGACCCGGCGGTCCCCAGCCCTAATGCCCCCCACAACATCCCCAGCTCCCACAGTCCCATCACTGCTTCTCCAGCCAATCCCACACTATCAGACCCACTCCAGGCTGCCGTGGGGTCCCACCACGTCGGATGGCACCGGCACAGCCACATGTGTCCCGTGCCTGCTGCCAGGCAAGTGAGCTGGGGGAGAGGACTCGGCAGGTTCGGCCCCCTGCTCCCCTCACCCTGCTGCGTCCGGGGCTTGTTTTCCGTTGCCTGCGGTTTGTTGCAGTGACTCAGGCAGCGAAAGCAAGTCCGGGAGGCTGCGGAGAGGCTGCTGGGGAGGGCTGCACTGTGGGCAGGGGGCTGCACGGCGCGAGGAGCAGCCGGGAGCACGGGGGGCTGCGATACCCCCTGCCTGCGGCGGGGCGCTGGGGGAGCGCAGGAGAGGAGTGCGGAAGAAACGCTCTCCTGGGGCTGTTACATCCCAATGGCCCCTCTGAGCAGGGAGAGGGGTGATGGGGCCGCCGTGGGCTCTGCTTTGGTCTCTACTCCCACTGGCATCTGCTTGCTGGCCCCAGTGGAGAGGGGCAGTGCGGGCAGGGCCACTGAGGCTGGGCTCAGCACCTATGGGATCCACTGCTGTCCTAGCATGGGACACCCGTCCTGGAAAGGGAAGAGCTCTCAGCAGCACCATTTGCAAGCCCATCAGGCACCCCTCTGCAGGGCTCCCCTGCCAGGAGGAGCCACCATTGGCAGCCTGTGGGGCAGGAGGAGGCAGGGTGATGCAGCTGAGGGATGGGATGTGGAATGTGGAATGTGGGACATGGGACTGGGGTGCCCAGCCCTGCACTCGGAGCACGTGCACATGGTGCTGCTCCCTGTGCATGGAACAGCAGGGCAGGCGCTTCTTCTCATGCAGGGCACATTTAGGCTGCAGTATAAATAATAACCATGGTTCTGGCAGGAGCACATCCTGGTTTTCATTGGTTTCACATCTCGTGATGAACGCTTTAAAAGAAGATTGTGCCAGGACCAGAGCTTATCCTTTTGCTAGACATCAGTGAAATGAAGCAGGACCAGATTGCTAACAGAAGAGCAGCTTGGCTGGTGTTTTCAAGGCATCGGATCCATGTTCTGCTCCAGCATCTTCAGGACCATGTGTCTTCAGCACAGGAAACTGTCCCAGCCTCCAACCCCATCCTCTCTCTAGCCCTGCTGTCCCACGGGGTGGGTGGTCACCCGCCCAAGCAGGGAGCGGGCTGGAAATCCCAGTGTCTGCTGCTGTCCCTCCGGAGCAGTGCTGCAACAAGGTCGAGTCTTACTCACGGGGACGGAAACAGCGCTTGGAGCTGGCAGCTGCAGCTCTCTACATGTCATAGAATCATAGAATGCTTAAGGTTGGAAGGAATCTCTAGAGGTCATATAGTCCAACTCCCCTGCACACCCGGGATCACCTAGAGCACGTGGCACAGGACTGCGTCCAAGCAGGTTTTGAAGATCTCCAGAAAAGGAGTCTCCACAACCCCTCTCGGCAGCCTGTTCCAGTGCTCTGTCACCCTCACTGTTAAGAAATTTTTCCTTAAGTTCCTGTGGAACTTTTGGTGCTTCAGTTTCTGGCCGTTTCCTCTAGTTCTATCAGTGGCCACTACTGAAAAGAGGCCAGCGCCATCCTCCTCACTGCCTCCCTTGAGGTATTTATATACAC